GTCGCACTGTTAAAGCGCCCAGTGCTGACCGGGCCCCCTGGAAATCTATACCCATCGGGTGGCCCTAACAGCACGAGCGGCTGGCCGGGGCCACAAAGCATGGAGGCGGGTACCCGGTCGCAAGGGTCCGCAGGGTGGACCCCTGGAGTAAACTGCGACCCCTGCGACCGCTGTATGTACACCAGTGGGGTTACCCAAAGCATCATAACCAATATAGCCTACTGTACTGATTGTGATGCCAGGAGTACGCTGGTGCTGTTCCGTGGTAATGGGGCAAATCGTTTTGCAATATTCTGGCCTCTCCACCAGATGCCAAGCCTTGTGGAATGGCTGGTGATGCACATCCAGCTTCTGCAGAAGCTGGATGCCAACACCAGAGGTGTAGCTGGGGAGGAAATGGGCACTTTTTGGTGGGCAGCTCTGTAAATTTTCCGGGGGGCTGCGGCACCTGGGGCAGTGCAGTCACAATGCTGAGGTAATCAGCATTGTACCGGGCACCAGTCACCTTGTGGGTTCCCCTCAGCCTAAATGGAGGAAGTTAGTTCCGGTTACTGGTTACTTCCTGCAGGGAGCCGCTTGGGAAGGAAGAGAGGAACTGAGAAAGCCTGGAGTCTCAGACTCCTATCATTCAACTCCCACTGAAACCCAGGGAAGCTAACCTTCTGCATCCCAAAAGGTAAGGGAATAGGAGGGTGGCTTAAATATGCAAATTGTTATTTATATACATGTGTGTACCTGGGTCTGTGTTTTTATGTGTTTGTGCATACCTGTATGTGTGTGTTAGTGTGTGTATATAAATGTGTGTCAATGTGTATGCGTGTCTGTGTTTGTGTACATGTATGTCTGTGTATGTGTACTTGTGTGTCAGTGTGTATAGGTATATGTACCAAAGCTGTATTTTGACAGCAGCTCTTAAGGTTCTGGGCTTTGGGTACCAGGAAAGTCCAGTTTATTTGTTCTTACCCTATGTTTCATCCAGCTGTTGTAAATGTATTTGACAACACTGGAGAGACAGTACCCACTATAATAAACTGAAGTGGTTATGGTGCTCAGAGTGTAGTTTTAATTTTCACTGTTAATGAGTATTTTTATTGTTATGTCCTTATTGCAAATATTGACACTATTGCATTTGTTTAAAACTACACGTTCACCTTCCACCATCCCAATTGTTTCATCACATATTTCCACAAACAGAAAATTATGGGAGAGTTAAAACCTTCTTTTTAATCTCTTTCTTGATCTAAACTTATATCATATATCATATCTTTTCATGTGCTCTTTGACATTTCTGCTGTCAGTAACAAGCTTTCTGCTGTGCCCGATATACTCTTTTAACCTTTCCCTGGGTTCTAGCCATTACCGAGATTGGTTTATGTCACATACAGTAAGCCATGTTTCTTTTAACCACAAATAAAGTGTCAGCAAGTGATGTTAGCAGCCTGCTGGTATTACTTTGTATTACTAAAATCTTAACCCGTCTTACCTACTTCTTTTTTCATTTAAATTTCAACTTACAATTCTTTTTGTTTCACTCTCTTTCTGTCAATACCTTCTTCATAAAAAGATTTCTTAATAATTTATCTTCTTCAAAACTCACATAACTGTAAAACAATGCTAAGTCAGCAAGTTATACGTTAGTGTATGAAGCACTGTCAATGACTAGGCAAGAGGAACATTTTGTTTAATTCACTGGATGATGAGGATTACGGCTGTCCTTGTCCAATCTGCCTATTTTACTGGCACTATCCTCATAATCCCCCTTCTCTTCTTAAGGGTAGTAGTATGGAGGAGGTACCGCTGGTGTTGGGTGGTGAAAACTGCACAGAATCAGATACAGAACCAGCAGCCTGCTCTAGAACTTTCTTTTTCTGCTTCTTCCACCAGTAACAGTGAGAATGTTCCATCACTCTTCTCATACTCATTTCCATGGTGCAGAATTAGGAATTTGCTAAATTAAGTAATGCTAATTTAAATGGAGATGGTGATGAAGGTATGAAAGTGGTGGCGACGGTGTCATGTTTCCTGTGTGGACACAATTACAACATTTAATACTGTGCTATTACCTTGTGCCATTAGCTGTCTCCACATATCAATGAGACCCTAGAACATGGATTTCCGTCTTTTATTGAGCCTCGACGCATATCTAGACTAGCTGATCACTCTTTTAGTTGCTTCTTGGGGGTCTAGAAGGACTAGTGCTAGTTGTACTTGTCCTGCTGGGCTGAAAAAGGTACTCTTTTTCAGTAAACTGACACAAACCGTATTGCAGTCTGCAAAGCACAAGTAGTAGTACTGAAGCACAGCCCAAATCAAATAGTCCGTCTCTCTCTGTAAGTTACACTTGCACTCTATGAGTGAAGAGTGTGTCCACTTTTTTATTTTACACAAAGTCCAGATTTCAAAAGAAATGGACACCTTTATTAATTAACCTTGTTACACCCTCTGGGTGTCAATCAGACAAAAGATCCTATTACTTCCTAGTTTAGTTAGCATCATGGGAAACACATTGTCCTTGATAAACTCTAGGAGTCCTTTGTACCAGTTTAATTATTGTTGTCCTGTTATCTCGTTTATACATTTTTTGCTTTTCACATACGCAACTACCTTTTGATGATCTTAACAAGTGTTCTGCAATACCATGTAATAATTTTTTGATTGACTGCTTGTCATGTTCTGTATTTTGTGGTGCAACTTATTCCTTAAAAACATCTAAAGTGTTGTATAAACTAACCTATTTAATCTGTGCAGTGACTAACAACTGGAGGGGTCCCTAGACCCATTGCACGTAGGAGTGGCCCCTAAGGAGCTCATTAAGCACAGACCTTCTGAGCCTCATTAATCGTAACATGGATTCACTGTGCCTCATGACCCATAGGGTGGGCTGCGCACCATTTCTCTGTGGCTCAGCCTGTATGTGACGATGGATTTGGTATGCCTGTGGAAATGGTTCGGCACAAGTCTAGATGAAGATAGAAGTCTGCTTGACAAAGAACCCTGTGATGGATTGAAATATTGCTAGATGTGATCTTGGTGGATTAAAATTTCTGGATGAAAACCATCTGGTTCTGCAACTCCATTATTGCCTATTTTTATTTCCCAGGATTTGGGGGAGCCTTTGCATGCCTCCCAAACATCCTGATTTTGGCAGGACAGTCCCTATTTTCTCCATCCCGACTTTGGTGTATCGGTTTTGGGGTAATCAAGGAACTGTCCCCATAAAGTGTTGCGGAAGCACAACATTAGACACACTTGCGCTGCACCCAGGCCACTAAGACCATCAGTGTTACCTGCAAGTCCTGCCCTCATTGATCTGGATGATTTAATTAAAGAAATACCTGCACTTCAACTTCAATAAAATTCTAATTTTATTAGATACAAACTAAATATAATATAGTCTGTGTATGCCTATAATATTGGCATCGGTACCAAACTCTATCTGTGAGGTATGCAAAATCAGAGTAACATTATCAATATAAACAAAAACACATATAGAGAGCATAGAGAAATGCAAAAATAGAATATTAGATTGCTGTACAATTTTACCTTGCAAATGGACAGGAGAAAACACCCAACGTTTCGGCTATACGTACAGCCTTAGTCACAATCTTTAACAATTTTTAAGCATACATGCAATTAAGAAATGGCGGTAGTCTCTCCCATGTGCAGCCCCAAATTAGATCGTTAACACCTGTGTATCTCCGTGCTATAGTGATTTGGCAAGTTCTAAATCTAAGGAACGTACTATTGCTATATCAACAGGACACCCATATCGATATGTACATTACTATATACTACTAAATATACACATATATAGTAATGGCTGATTTGCCAGTAATTTGGGCAGATCCGCTACATTGAGTGGAGCCATTGACTCCATCACATTACTGGCCTCCCCCACTTAACCCCCTCCTCCTGCTGGCACCCTGCTTTTTGAGATGCCAGCCTTGGGTATGCCTTTGGACTCTACACCAAGGTTTCATTATATGCATTGTGCAGGTTTTCCTCAATATACACTCCCTAATAAAACACTGGCACGAGATGCTGAAAATAATCATTCAAATTAGATGGAGCTGGTGTTATTGTATTTACTTTTGATTTGTGTATCTTTAAGGTTTGGTAGTGGGGTGGAGTGTTACATAGAATCTAGTGGGGTGGAGTGCTTACATAGAATCTATCATTTATATCATGTTTATCGGTTATTCCTATTCCTAAGGAACCAGAAGTCTGAAACCGCGTAAGAAAGTTTGCCTTTTTTTGTAAATTTGGTCCCCTTGATTCTATACCCAATAAACTTCAGCTTGGAGTTTAGCGAGTTCTTATTTTAGCGTAATTTTCTATTTTATCCTTTTTGTATTTTCTCTGTAGAACCCAGGCCTGGTAGAGGATACAGCAGAGGGGATGTTTTCCTTTTTGCGAAGCACGGTCCATTTATTGCTTTTTACATTCCTCTCTCCTTGAGCCTTTGATTGCTTGAAACATGGACCAGGCCACTTTTTGTTGTAGTATGTTTATATGAGTCCTACGCACTTTATTATTAAAATATTGGTATATTCTTCCATGAGTAGTGTGTACCCTTTAAAATTGGGGGTTGGTATTCCCCTTCTCCTTCACTTGTTCCTTTATCATTAGATTTTTTTTATTTTTAAGTTATATTTTCCTTTTAATCAATGTGTTCTCTCTTCTTTATAAGGTATTAACTGTTGATCCCAATTCCTTAAATTGGAAGTTGTTTTTTAATACCTTTTATAGATTAAGTAAATAATTACAGAGCAATGACAATTTGATTGCTGAGACTGCAACCATCCTCATTTTTGTAAAGTGTACATTCATAACCACAAAATTTTAATTAAAACACCATACCAACATTTCAAGACGGTTGCTCTCTATGTGTATCAGAAGCGTTCCAACTGCTACAGATCAAACCAATTCATTTACAATTCTTAATTTATAAAAATATACATGGGACATAAATATAAATGAATGTTACATTTATTAAGTATATTTGACAGTATTAATATCATTTTGCAGTCTCTAACAGTGAAATTGGTGACTTAAGGGCCAAGATATATCTTGGTATCTTGGATATTAACACAAATTAGGCCAAAAAACAGCCAAGATGTGGGCGACCTCTGGACTCACGGAGAGCCATCCTTCAGCAACTGAGAAAAGGAAAAACCTCCTGTGGAGGAAACCTCTGGGGAACCATGGCTTGAAGGACTGCCCTTCCCTCTGGGCATTAAGAGGCAATTACAGAGAATTCAATATTTGCTTATTAATTTATAAACTGTTTAACTTGACAGACAGACAGTGACAAACATACATAGAGACACAGACACACAAACAGATATACAACTAGATTACTAAAGCAGACCAAACAAAGATTAATGATACCGATACCTGAAAAAAAAAAAGAAGCTGTACCCTAGCAATGTATCCACCCAACGCGGCAAAGCTTAAAACCCCAATCACCAATCTTTGATGATGGGTATACGAGTACCTGTGCAAAATATAACGCCCCTCGCTAGAATCTCCACTGCTGAATTCCGATGAGGGTACTCAAGCTCCAAGACTTCAGACACATCCAAGTGAGGCCTAGATCGCCATGCCATTGAAATTATATGAGAACCACGAATATAGGTGAAGCTCTGTCAGAGCCTCCATTATAACTGGGGATAGATAGAATGTTCAAGCAGTTACAGCAGCAGTTATGGTTATGACATCACAGTATGACATCACCTATTATGATTTAACTGCTAAAGATCACAGTTCCTGAGATGAAGTTTCTCTTTATTAATATAAAAGATAACTGTGATAAACATGGAAAAGGAATCTTTATCATCACTATACATTTTATATGGATCTCAAAGGAAACTTAGTAATCTCCTTTCCTTTGTCACCGTTTGCCCCTTAAAGAAATACCATTTATTTTTATTACTATGTCTACTTCTATTTCTAGAGTACAGTTGTTAATTAACTGTAATTCACAATTTAGTGAATAAACCCAATTTTCGTGTTTTAAAGTGGTTTTCTCTCTCTCTAACACCCTCTCGCCTTTTCTTTATTCTGAGCAGGGCTGGACAAGGTCCCAGTATATCCACTGAACTCAGATAGCACCTTGTTTTTCAATATAGGAGAGGTGAGCAACATGGGAGTATGAATTCTGGAAGAGAGCACACCCTGTCTGCATCCTTTAGTTTGTCCCGAGCAGCTAGTCTTAAGAGATGGAGTACTGGGAGCAGATGCCTACCTAGGTTACATGCAAGGCTGTTTGAAGGAATTTGGGGGCCCCAAGCAAAATGGACCTGGAGGCCCCCTAACCCCCCCACCCCCCCCTCCCCACGCACACGCAAAGCCTACAGGAACCACAGCATAGCCATACAGTTTAAGTTCACCCACACGTTATATAAATAAAAAAAGGTTTACAGTGCAAATACTGCTGTTGCTTATAATGTGCATAAAATTTGAACATTTTCAACAATTGAAAATTCCCTGTGTTCTCCACATCTCCGCTTCTCCTCACCCCCCTCCCTGTGTTCACCTCATCTCCCCTTCTCCTCACCTCCCCCTTCCCTGTGTTCTCCTCATTTCCCCTTCTCCTCACCCCCTCCCTGTGTTCTCCTAATCTCCCCTTCTCCTTACCTCCCCCCTCCCTGTGTTCTTCTTACTCCTTCCCCCTCCCTATGTTCTTCTTATTGCCCCATGTTCTTCTTACTCCCCCCCATGTTCTTCTTACTACTCTCCCCATGTTCTTCTTACTCCCTCCCATGTTCTTCTTACTCCCCTCCCTATGTTCTTCTTACTACTCCCCCTCCCTGTGTGTTCTTCTTACTCCCCTCCCTGTGTCCTTCTTACTCCCCTCCCCCCTGCCTGTATCCTTCTTACTCCACCTTCCCTGTGTCCTTCTTACTCCCCTCCCCATGTTCTTTTTACTCCCCCACTCCCTATTTTTTTTACTCCCCCCCTTCCCTTTCCTATGTTTTTTTACTCCCTTATGTTCTTTTTACTCCCCCTCCCTCCCTTCCTATGTTCTTTTTACTCCCCCTCCCCCCCAATGTTCTTCTCACCTCCCCTTCCCTGTAGCGTGGCCGAGCTCCTCTTCCTCCTGTCAGTCCGGCCGGGTACTGCACGGTAACAGGAGATTCAGTTTCCTGTTCCCGGCCGGACTGAAAGGAAGTGAGCAGGAGGACTGACAGGAGGAAGAGGAGCTGACAGGAGGAAGAGGAGCTCGGCCACGCTACAGGGAAGGGGAGGTGAGACTCTCTATAGAGAGCTCAGGCGGCTGCAGCCTTATAGGAAGCACCGGCCATGCTTGGGGCCCCAGGCCAGCTCGGGGCCCCAAGCAATTGCTTGGTTTGTTTGCCTAGTAGCGACGGGCCTGGTTACATGGCACCAGGGGGTACTCTTTTTCAACAAGACTTCCAGCAGGTTCAATAGAAGTTGAGGAAACTGATGGCAGGATCTCTCTGTGGTTCCTGGAAAAGGGAGAGAAGCAGCTGTGGACTCAGGAGCCAATCACTGAAAGAGGGTGGCAATTGTTGCTAAGACGGGAGAGGGCAGAGACTGAGTTAGGGGGCAGCCATGGTCCCCCTACATGTTTGGAGTAGCCTTCCCCTCTGTTGCCGATTACCAGTTGGCCACTGCAATGAAACTCTGTGATGCCCACTGTGTGATGCCCCAGGGTAATCTTGGCTTTAGGCAGTTGCCTAACTGGTCTGACATTGGGGCAACCTCTGTGGTTATATACTAAAATGTGAATTTGCAGACACATTTTTTTTTTGCATTTTGCTGAAATTCGCTTATATCCTTACTGACAAAAATGAGCCATTGGATAGACACTAACAAAAAAACCTCCTGGAATAGCAGCCATTGAGCGTGCAAACAATTTTAATTGCTCTGGAATTATTCTTCAAGAAATCCCTAGATCAGTCTGGCAAAGAAAATACATAAATACACAAATTCATGTAATAGTTATTGCTTCTTACAGCAGACAAGGTTGTTATTACACCCATCCCAACTTCATGTAAATAAAGGACATTAATAAGAGGGCTTTCAATTAAAGGAGCAATCTGTGCTTTTCTGTGTTGGTCCAACCCCCTCCACAAATTAGAATAAAATTAAAATAAAGGTAAAACGTATCTCCATTCCAGTGCAGTGGCCAAGTTCTTCCTGAAGTCCTATCCTCCACCTCTGATGCCACTGCCCCTCAATTGAGGAGTGATGTCGGGGGGTATGCCAGGGAGGGTGGGCTGAGCGACGGACATGGACAGCATTGAGGAGGGGTGCCATGCAGCTGATGGACACCTCCCAGAGACATGGCACCCAAATCACTTAATAAAGATAAAGTGGTCTAGGTTCCCATAGTGTCCCTTTAAGTAAATCAATGAAATCAACATAGTTTATATTTAACAGGTCTTAGAATTAATAAATGATTCAGATAGTGTGTCATTATGAGCATGGCAGGCAGGTAGCTACAGAAAGTGTTTTTCTTATACTATCCTACAGCTATCATGATCATGTAAGAGTGCTATTATAAGAGATCACATGACACCTCCATGAATGTTATCTAAGAATGGAGAAAATGTAGACTTTGGAACCAGTCCACTGCCAGGCTCTCCTTATCCTTATTAATAATTACTTGAGGGTCAGGCATTGTAATCACATCTCTTTCTGTTCAAACAACAGATGAATTTGCATTGTCTCCAGTGTAATAAAAATGCACTTTATTTTAGCTGTTCCATAACATCACTGCCTTATCAAACTCAGACTGCCTGGCCTGCTATGCATTGAATGACTGATTCCAAGAGGAAAAAGCCTTACATTTGAAAAGCACTAGACTGTGATAATTACAATCTAGGAATGCCCTAAGTAGAATATTTCACTGAGGGGGTCATCCCAGTTTTCGCCACTATGAGGCGCTGTTGTCTCGGCTAAGTAACAAAAAAAAAATCTGGAAAATTAATTTTTTTTTCTACAGACCAGAAACATTATTTACCAAAACGAAAGAATTCAACACCACAGTGCAAGAATGCATGACCTACCCCCCTGCGTGATATAGTAATATGTATCAGTCAGAGAGCTCTGCCTGGCCCACTGCAGTTGATATTAGATGCAGGATGAGGATTGATACAAGTTAGCAGATTTACACTCTGGACATTCTCTCTCTCTCTCTCAATGTAGAAAAAGCTACCATGGGATACAAGGAGCCAGACAACCAAACCTCAGAGCTGCTCGCCCCTTGCTCATTGGGTGGCCAGGGTTGCCTCCACGCCTCCCTTGGCTAGGGCTGTCTCCTGCTAGCTTGTGATTGCAATAAGCTGGGAAGAGGGTAGGGAGGGCCCCTGATCACTCACTCCTCCTCTCTGAGTGTGGGTTTGTGTGAGAGCTGCAGTGTTAGAGAGAGGCAGGCAAAGAGGAAGCAGTCCACATACAGACCTACACAGAGCAGGGGGAGCTTTGTGTCCAATTTAGGGGGGGACCTGCATACCTGGGAGTGTGGGGGATCAAGGGGCTGCTTGGGGTGTGCTGGGATCAGGGTACACACCTGTAAACAAGAGGCCAGGATTATAAACATCTGGATCTATACAAGCACTGCTGGCTTTTTTTTTTTTTTTAATCTTTGGAGGGATCATCACCTGCTTCAGGGATATTTAACGCCCTGCATATCTGTGACAGCATCTTCCTGGGGTTTCTACCTACCTAGATCTGATCAGAGGCTTGGCAGCCCACCCATCTGGACTCCATGGCGGCTGTGGTGGAACCTATCTTTGGACTTTCTGAAGATGAAGTGAGTACTGACCATGTTATGTGTGTATAATAATGTTTGCTTGTTTATGTGTTTTGTATTATTTGGTCGTTAGAAGTATAAAGTCTATTGTTTTGATGGCAGTGTGGGGGGCAGTGAGATCATTTTGTACACTGGTGTTTTGAGGGGTGATTAGATCTTTGCATTCTGCAACGTAAGTGGCCCGAATGAACCTCTCAGTGACTTGCAGTCTTGCTGTAATTAAAAGTAGCCCATTGGACATTAGTGGCTGTACCAACAGGATGGATGAGGGTGAGGCAGTGCATGGTCTGATTCAAGAGATCTCTTTACACTTCAACATTCCAATGAGATTTATCAAGGCATATCAGCTGATATTCTGAGTGCAAAGTGCAAAATGTTCAACATTCTATTGGTTTCCATGGTGACTGCTCCTGATTTAACACTTTGCTCCACCTGTCCTTTACCCTGATAATTATCTGCAAATGAATCCTGGTATGTTCAGGAAAACAAACTATTATTATTATTATTATTATTATTATTATTATTATTATTATTTCCATTTATATAGCATCAACAGATTCCGTAGCGCTTTACAATATTATGAGAGGAGGGGATTTAACTATAAATAAATAGGACAATTACAAGAAAACTTACAGGAACGTTAAGTTAAAGAGGACCCTGTTCAAACAAGCTTACAGTCTATAGGCAGGTGGGGTATAAAACACAATAGGACAGGAATATCACGCTTGTTGCTGAGATGTATACTTCCTGCATATAGGAATTGTGTGCTGCTACATTGACATCCTGTATGAAATTTAGTCTTTACATGCAGATGCCAGTAGGATATCATACACTGTATTATAATAAAGGCTGGTTTTGGAATCTGAAGTATATCTGATCCTCAATCAGAATAGTTATTGACAACAATACTGGGTTATTCACTTAAGTGAGAATTCAAAGTGAATTTTATATTTTGGACCAAAGTAACGGAACAAATTTTTCTGGTTCGGCTATATTGGACCTGAATTTAAAATTTACTTTGAATTCTCAGTTTAGTAAATCACCCTGTTAATGTAATGCAGAGAGCAAGGTGCTTCAAACGCCCCAAGCTTTCTCACCTGCTTCACTGCAGTTACTACATCCCTGCTCTGGTAGCAGGTGTGTTCCAGGGCTGGGAATCTGCGTACTGCTCTCATGCTGTATACAGTGTGTGTGAGACAGATTGCATATTTCTGGAGAAAGGGAAGTGATAGCAAAGCTTTTTGAGCCCCAGTGCCCAAACTGCAACATGAAACCAACTTATTTATCTCAAAGTGCCGGCACTGCAAATAAATATAAAAACTGAGATTTAATTTAAAAACAAACAAACCACTAAACGTAAACACCTTCATCACACGCGAGGACTCTGTCTTCCTCCAATAATGCTCCACTTGTCTGTTGGACCTACTACTTCCTACCCTCCATCCCTGGATCAGTAATGCCCTCCGCAGACCTAAACCTGCCCCATCAGCTGTCTGTATAGAGATAATTATTGACACTCCCCATCCAAGTCCTCGACACACTCACTGCCATAGCACCCACCAGCTGGCTCACCCACTTTGCTAAGGGGTTAAATAAATATTCTTGTGATTTTTGAGCACCCTGGAAGTTGTATTTTTCCAGTACAAGACACACTCCCTGGGCCATCACAAGTCCTGGGCAATGACAGCAGTGGCAGAGGTTACAGTAGGCATCTCAAGCCCCTACTCACAGCTTACCAACACCAGGGCATTAGAAGACCACCTTGTTCTCCTGGCCATAGGTCCAATGTGGTGGTGGTGGTAAATAGCAGCAGAGGATTGATATGTCCCCAGGAAGGAGTGAGGTATGTGGGATGGGGGTCTCGAGACAGTGACAGCCCCTCAATGTACAAACACTCCGCTCCCCACACCGCTTGTTCACCAGGATTTCACAACTCTGACTGCCACAGGGCTGAGCCCCACACTACTAGCGATTGGGGGGAAGAATAAGAGAATAGCTCGGTGTGTCTGAGGAGCGCATATAAAAAGATTTGGTGTGCCAATGGAGAGGCTTCTGCATGCCAGATGTTCGCCATCCCTGCTCTAGGGGCATTTAATGCTGTGGGTTGTGAAAAGCAAGCAGTAACCATGTATAAACACTACTGCATGTTGTGTTAAGACAGGTTTGGAATGGCACAGGTGAAGCAGGGGTGGTTGTGTGTCACACCTACATCACACAGGGTGTGTGCTGAAACCTGGAAGTGTCAAAGCAGTGTGTATTGGTCTAAATGTGTGGGATTTATTACTGCGTGACATGCCTAATAGTGGGTCATTAATACAGAGTAACGTTTCATGTGTTCAACTTCCAGAATTATGCAACACAAACATTTTGGTGACTATTGTGGTAGAATTCAAGTATCATCCTAATATTTACACAACATATTCTGCTGCCTCGTATAAGGGGCTAATTTTTCTAGAAATATGATGAGCGATTCCCCATGTTTTGTCTGTAATCAATCAATCAATAAAGATTAACCTTTTTAAAAATGAGTAACGGCTATATATTTTATATATCATAATATATTTTTCTTATCTGTTGATGGTCAGCAAATGGCTTGTGATGCAGATGTTTTAGGCTTGCTACTCTGTAGATTAAATACAGAATATAAGAGGGAGTGGGTAAAAAAAAAATTATTTTTATTTTAAAAAATTCAATTTGTATTGAATTTTTTTTTTTTCCTTTCTCTATTTCAGATTAAACATGAAAGGTCTAAAATATCAACAAATTGCATTATTTTACTACTTGAGTGTAAAAGCAGTTCACTATATGCCTGCAAGATTTTATGCATAATGGCACTTGAATTATAATTGTATGATGGCAAATTAACAGTATAAATAAACAAGACATTCAGAGTAAAATACTACGTATCGATGGCTCTATTAATATAAACATACAATTAAAATTCGACAAAACTGGAATGTGAAACAGAGTTTTACACATTAACATTTTTCTTCTGCAAAGGGTATATAATTAATGTAGAAGTTTTACATGATGACCCTGGCGAATGTGTAATATTTGAAGTAATACTGTCATGATAGAGCTATATATAT